CTATGCGTCGGTTCCGACTCGATGGCACCCGACAACAACAACAACTCTCTTTTGGTTACTATTTGCATGAAACATTATTTTCTACCCCTTTATTTTCAATCTGTTTCTGTCTGAGGCTATGATGTACCTCTAGGTTTTCTTGCTTATCTGCCACACTCTCTCTGCCTCTTCACTGGACAGTTTGTTTAATTTTGTTTTTGTTTCTGACACTTTTTATTGTGAATTGAGTGAAGGTTTACAGACCAGATCACCAGTTTCACATTCAGTAAGTCATGCACATAGTGTCCTCTCAGTGACTGCAATCCCCTTTAGTAATAGCAGTTATCCTACTTCCTCCCTGTGATTTTTGTGTTTTTTTTTTCCAGGATTTCAATACATATTTAATATTTTTTACAATGAACTTTTATTGTGAATTAAGCAAAGGTTTACAGACGGGATTATCAGTTTTACGTTCAACAAATTGTACACTTGGTTTTATCTCAATCCCCTCCAGTTTTATCTCAATCCCCTCCATGCAACAAGTTTTCCCAATTAGTCCCTGTGGTTCCTATTTTCATTCCACCCTCCTTCCCATCCCTTCTCAACTTTGTCTTTAGGGAAGTGTTACCCTTTTGAGTTTTGAATGAATGACTATTCCATGGAGACCATGCCTTATCAGTATTATTGTTCCCCTGTATACCTATCTGGAGTCCTGATGTGGTACTGCAGGATACTGTACTGGATCCTGGATTGCAAGGCCAGCAGTTTAAACCCACCAACTGCTTCTATACAGTCAGAATTGACTCGACGGCACTTAAAAACAACAACAACAAAATATTAGTATCTACTGCTTGACTGAAATTGGGCCACGAGGGGGTAAGCTCCTTTCCAGACCTGAAGGGTGGTTAAGACCCATAGTCTTGGGTTCTTCTAGTCTCTTTCTAACCAGCAAGGCCCGTCTTTTTTCATAATTTTGAGTGTGGTCGCATATTTCCTCCTACTCTTTCTAGGACCTTGTAATGTGATCCCTTTCAGAGCAGTTGGTAGTGGTAACCATGCATCTAGTTCTCCTGGTTTCAGAGTTGTGCAAACTGATGTTTACATATGCCATTTGTCTACTGGACTAATTGATTCCAAGCATATTCAGTTCTTATCACTCTTTCTTCCACACATGGAGAGACTAATAAACTGCACCTTACATGGCTGTGTATGAACATTTAAGATCCCAGACACCTCTCATCAAAGTAGGATGTAGAACATTGTCTTTTTCTAGACTGCGTAATGCCAATTAACCACGATGTCCCATGAGACTATGATCCTGAGCCCCCAGACCCAGCAACTCATTGTCTTAAGAGGTTGAATAGTATCAAGAAGGTTTCATACTTTTGCCTCCTGTATTCTTCACCACATTCATAGTTCTGTTTACAACAAACATAAATACCCTCTCAAATTCTCACATCCTTGTGGGTATGCACCCACTCTCCCTCTCATACCCATTCAGCCTGTGTTT